AATCCCTGTGGTACTGAAGTAATGTATTGGTCTATTTCTCCAGGTCTGAACTGATGGAACTTACCACAGGTAGCGAACTCTAAAGAATTAGGTCACAGACATGGGCATTCTGTGTGCATTGGTCCCTGAATACTCTGGCCCTGCAAGCTGCCCAGAAGGATAAAGCACAGGTTGCTGTCTGCTTAGAGAAAGGTAGGGAATAACTCCAAATTTGTAAATCTGACCCTATGAATTAATTATATGGCATTCAGAGGGAACGTTTTGCCTTTTGTGGTAGCATTAACAGTTGCCCTCAGTTCTAAAACATGAAACAAAAAAAACAAAACTAAAAACAATTTCATGGCCTTGTACTAGTGTTTAATGGTTTGAAAATACTAACACCTATCCCAAGATCTGTTTTGTTGTTGACTGTGCTTATATTTCAGACAATTTAATTTCATATAACTCAGTGCTGTTTTCCCAGACCCTTAATGCTACAGAGTGATAAAAAAGTGATCAGTGGTGCGTTCCACCTGTTCTTTGTAGAAGGTATTTGCTGACCCATTTGCAGTGGTGCATGCATCTGCATGCAACAAGAAAGTTACCAGTTCTTTCCAGACAGAAGCTGACGTCCTGGTCCAGGAGGACCCAAGTCTGTTATAACCAGAGTTAGCTTAAGACACAAGAGGCCAAATGCTGCTAATCAAAGAAGTATATTGAGTACTTGTCTAAACCAAGTATTTATTTACTGTGGTAAGGAAACAACAATAGGAAAGGCAGAGAAATAGAAAAGAAGGAAATCTAGCAAACAGTTGGGATAGAGTTGCAACAGACAGTCACCACCGTGGGTCCAGCAATGTCCCATTGGTCCGCAGCCTCCGTGTACTTCAGTGATGAGGGTCCCACCAGCTATTTGATAGCACAGTCCTTTATAGAGTATTACTGCATTCCTGTGCACACCCAGTCCTGCCGTGGAGCTCACGCGATTACTGTGTGATCATTTACCATGGACTGTACGTGCCTTGGCAGGTTGAGGTGGTCACCCATGCTCAGGCACATCCCACAAAGTGACATGACTGTTCTTGACCTCAGTGGAAACTGCTTTTGGGTGGCTGTCCCTTACCTGTTCACAGCAGCTGAGCTCAGTTAAACCGTCAGCAAGTCTTGCAACAAGCTCACCAGGACTGCAAACAAGCTTTGAGACAGTCACCTTAAGATACGGTCTCTCACAGGTGCGGGGTCTGACTCTGCAGCAATTTCGCATCTGGAACTGCTTTGCAGTTACTTTACACCAGACTAAAAGATACTGAAGTGTTGCGATATGAACAACATTAACCTCAGGGACATGGATCAAAATAAAATTTAAAAAAAGTTAAAATATTAATTTAACATATTTAATTATAACATCTATTAATGTTATACATAGTGGCTCAAAAAACTGACTAGAGCCAGACCAATGAATCAAATCGGTTTATTGAGCAAGCAACAGCAAGGAAAACAGCGCTGGGCGGCCAGGAAGTCTCTGCTCCGCCAACGGCACGCACCCCATTTCCCCAAAGTCACTGATTTTATACTCTATCCAGTGTACGTGCTACTCTTGGTGTATTCTGCGTCTGTGTGCCCCGTTGATAAGGGGTCTCATTCTGCCTCCCGTTGGGTGTGGGGAGAAAGACTCCTTACCTCCTTCGGGGTCTCATTCGGCCTCCTGGTGGGTGTGGGGAGAAAGGCTCCTTACCTCCTTCGGGGTCTCACTCTGCCTCCCGGTGGGTGTGGGGAGAAAGCTCCTCTCCTTCGGGGTCTCATTCGGCCTCCTGGTGGGTGTGGAGAGAAAGCTCCTTATCTCCTTCGCGATCTCATTCGGCCTCCCGGTGGGTGTGGGGAGAAAGCTCCTCTCCTTCGGGGTCTCATTCGGCCTCCTGGTAGGTGTGGAGAGAAAGCTCCTTATCTCCTTCGGGGTCTCACTCTGCCTCCCGGTGGGTGTGGGGAGAAAGCTCCTTGTCTCCTTCGGGGTCTCACTCTGCCTCCCGTTGGGTGTGGGGAGAAAGACTCCTTACCTCCTTCGGGGTCTCATTCGGCCTCCTGGTGGGTGTGGGGAGAAAGCTCCTTGTCTCCTTCGGGGTCTCACTCTGCCTCCCGTTGGGTGTGGGGAGAAAGACTCCTTACCTCCTTCGGGGTCTCATTCGGCCTCCTGGTGGGTGTGGGGAGAAAGCTCCTCTCCTTCGGGGTCTCACTCTGCCTCCCGGTGGGTGTGGGGAGAAAGGCTCCTTATCTCCTTCGGGATCTCATTCTGCCTCCCGGTGGGTGTGGGGAGAAAGCTCCTCTCCTTCGGGGTCTCACTCTGCCTCCCGGTGGGTGTGGGGAGAAAGGCTCCTTACCTCCTTCGGGGTCTCACTCTGCCTCCCGGTGGGTGTGGGGAGAAAGCTCCTCTCCTTCGGGGTCTCATTCGGCCTCCTGGTGGGTGTGGAGAGAAAGCTCCTTATCTCCTTCGCGATCTCATTCGGCCTCCCGGTGGGTGTGGGGAGAAAGCTCCTCTCCTTCGGGGTCTCATTCGGCCTCCTGGTGGGTGTGGAGAGAAAGCTCCTTATCTCCTTCGGGGTCTCACTCTGCCTCCCGGTGGGTGTGGGGAGAAAGACTCCTTATCTCCTTCGGGGTCTCATTCGGCCTCCCGGTGGGTGTGGGGAGAAAGACTCCTTATCTCCTTCGGGGTCTCACTCTGCCTCCCGGTGGGTGTGGGGAGAAAGACTCCTTACCTCCTTCAGGGTCTCATTTGGCCTCCTGGTGGGTGTGGGGAGAAAGCTCCTTATCTCCTTCGGGGTCTCATTCGGCCTCCCGGTGGGTCCGGTGTGTGTGGGGAGGAAGGCTCTTTATCTTCTTTTCCATACCTAGTTTACTTTAACAGATGCTTGCAGTCTATAAGCCAAATTTCAACGTGTCGAAGTCTTCCAGTAACCTTTAAGCAAGTTAAGTAACTCTTAAACAAACAATTTTTAAGCAAATAAGATTTGATTAACAAACAGGAATTCACTCATCACATTAATACATTAAAATTGCTAATCCCCAAACTCAGGCCCTTTTGAAGTTGTGTGAATGATCCTCACTGGTAGTAACATCCTGTAAAGTTCATGAACGTGAACAATGTTTGCAATTTTTTAAATGATTTTGTGAGATTGGTAGTATTGGAGAAACTACCTAATCTACAACAGTTCACTGATCTGTTGTAAACTGAGAAACAAGAGGTGCACATTTCCTGTTTAGAGCTTCATATGACTTTGGATGATTAGAGAAAATTACTGTTTTTCCAGGAACTACCTGGGTAATACCTGAAAATACCTTCTGACACTCTTTTTATAGGAATGGCAAGATATGTAAAAAAGCACCAGCTTTTACTAGATCAAATGCTACATAAAATACGAGGTATTCCACCATTCTGCCTGCTGCTTTCCACTCTCCCAGATACGAAAAGGGAACTGTTTTTACTAATGTATTCTGCGGTCTGATAAAAGTTATTTCTCCCTGTAGGCCTTATCTCAATATGTAGGCCATTATAGCTGCACACACATAAACAGTTCCTTCCAGAAGTGATACAGAGTGTGGGCTGCTCATTAAGGAATTAAAGTTACCTTGTATCTGCTCAATGTATAAACATTTTCCTTGCAAAATCAGCAAGAACACAGACTCCTACAAGGTCTGAGGGAAAATACTGGTGACAAACACACAGGGCTCTGCTGGAAAAGAGGCAAGATGGTGACTAAGCTAAATAATACGGTTTGGTACAGAGAACTCTTAACTACAACAGACCTCAAACTCTCAGTTGAAATCCGCACAGCCAGCTTGAATTGTCTGGGCTTCTGCCCTTGTGTAGTATAAAGTAATTTCCCTCTAAAGAAATAATACAAATCTTGGTGAGAAACTTTACAGTTGACTCCCTAAAGCGTTGAAAGATGCCATCTGCTTCTTTGAGAGTTTTAGGAATGTAAAAAATATGTATCACAGTGAACAGTGGTAAGTTTCTTAAATACGTGTATGCTTTACATATTTACAGTTTTATTTGCAACTGTGGTATCTTTCAGTCCTGTCCTGTGGAAGGATCTGAAATTAAATTTGTGCTCCCACTGAACGTGCTTTTACTTAAGAAACTTTTTCATCAGAATTATTTCTTATCTCTAATGTCCCTGGGAAGCCTATTTTTTTTTTCAGTTTAAGTAACAATAAAAGATGTTGAGATTGGACTTCTGACATCTTCGTGGTGAACGGTGTGGGTGTGTGTGTATAGTACCTCTGCTTGTGCTTTTTGTCCTTTCCAGGCTCCAGGCTCTTGTACACCTATCGGGCAAGATCACTGTGCCTGGGCAGGTCCCTGCAGAGCTTCACCCAGGAGCAATGACTCCCTGACCCAAGAACAGCAGCTGACCTCAGGGTGCGCAGAGGTTGCAGTCACGTTACCGAGTAACCATCACAGCTACTTGTCGTTATGATACCGGTGAGATCCGAGGTCCCCGAGTTCTCCCAGGCATGTGAAAAAGCCCGAGCAGTACAGCACGGCCCAGCACCTCTCTTTCCTGGGCACAGCCTCGCTGCACAATGATTGTGCCTAACGGCGGGGGTAGGACACCCTCCCTCTCCACTGGATGGGCTGATGGGGAAACGGCCATGGCCGGAAAAGGCACGCGGTAGGGAAAGATCGTACTCGACCCCAACACAGCTTTTTTGTCCCGGCAACAAGGCACTCCGGTGAAGTGTACGGAGGCTGTGCTGCGCCGCAGTCAGCGGGGCTGCGGAGTCACACATGCTGCTCGTCTTCCTCAGGCGCGGGCAAGCAGAGGGCGGCACCACCGCCGCCGTTCCTCGGCCGCAGCACCCAGCCGGTACGCACACCTGCGGTCAGGACGCGTTACCGGCGAAGGGTCCGGCGGGCGGCGGCTGCCCCTCAGAAACACCTGCCAGCCCGCTGACCCGCAACACCTGGGGAAGACCCGTCCCGCCTCAGGCAGGGAAGGACGAAGAGATCTGCCCACGTGGCACGGCCAGCTGCTCTAAGCCTCGCTGTCGCCCACCGCGCTCCCCCACCCCAGACTAGACCCGCGGCGCCGGCGGAAGAGCGGTAGCTCCGCGCCGCCTCCTGGTCGCTGCCGGCACAGCTCGTTGGCTCCTCCTCGGCCTATTCCGCAGTGGGCAGCGGCGACATGTGGAGGCTGGGGGCGGCCGGCGCGGTTAATGCCGCGCAGCGGCTGGCGGCGGTGCCGCCGCGGCGGCAGAGCGGAGCCCCTGGGTGCGCCTTGCTGGCGGGGACTGCCACTTCCGGCCGCGGGTGGACGGTGAGCCTGAGGCGGGAGGGTAGCGAGATGAGGCCTGCGACGCCGGGAGGGAGGAGGCGAGATGGCAGCGCTGCCACTGCCCTGGGGCGGCCGGGGCAGCCTCGGCAGCTTCGGCCCAGGCTGCCGCTGCGAGCGACCGCTGGGGGCGGGGAGGGAAGGGTGGCCCTGGAGCCGGTCCTGGCCAAGGAAGGGCGGTCCCAAGCCGGTGCTGCAGGCCCGTGGGGCTAGTCAGCGCCCCTCGCCCCTTCCCCCGGGTGCTCCCTGCGGGCCGGCACACAGCGGAGAGCGTCATTCCTCTCTGGCCGGGAGAAGGTGGCCCAGCGTCCCTGAAGGGGAAGGCGGAGGAGGCGGGCTGCCGGGCCGGGCCGGGCCGGGCCGGGCCAGGCCAAGCTGTGCTCCGGTAGCTGCTGGCCTAGCTGGAGCGCGCCTCGGCGCCTCCGCCCGCGGGAGCACCGGAGTGCAGAAGTGTGGGGCTGGCGGTCTCGGGCGTTCCGAAAACATGCAAATACACCAGTTCTGCGCTGTGGGAACGGGAACAGCGAGAGCTGTCAGAGGGAATCAGAGAGCTGCTCTGGGCAACCCGTGCCAGGGCCTCGTCACCCTTACGTTAAAGAATTTGCTCATAATATCTAATTTAAATCTGCCCTCTTTTCAGTTTAAAGCCATTCCCCCTTGTCTTAACCACTGCGTGCCCTTGTAAAAAGTTCCTGTTCAGGTTTCTTGTAGGCCCCCTGCAGGCACTGGAAGGCCATTGCAAGGTGTCCCTGGAGCTGGCTCCAGGCAAATCCAGCTCTCAGTCTGTCTTCATAGAGGTGCTCCAGCCCCTTCCTGGCCCTTCTCTGGACTCGCTCGAGTAGATCCACATCCTTTTTTGTGTTGGGGGCACAGCGCTGGCTGCGGTACTCCAGGTCTCACGAGAGCAGAGGAGAGGGGTAGGATCACTTCAACCTGCTGCTCCTTTTGATGCAGCCCAGGATACGGTTGGCTTTCTGTGCTGTGTGCACACTGAAGCCAACTCATGTTGACCTTCTCATCAGTCAATACCCACAAGTCCTTCTCAGGGCTGCTTTCAGTCCAGCTTCTGCCCACCCTGTAGCTGTGCTTGGAATTGACCTGACCCAGGTGTAAGGCCTTGCACTTGGTCTTGTTGAATTTCATGAGGGTGGCATTGGGCCTCCTCTCCAGCCTGTCCAGGTCCCTCTGAATGGTATCTCTTCCCTCCAGTGTGTTTACTGCACCATGCAGCTTGGTGTCATCAATAAACCTGCTGAGGTTGCGCTGAGTCCCACTGTCCATGTTGCTGACAAAGTGAATCCCGTGTTTGCTGTGCTCCAGAGCTATTTACTTGTTTGCTACTCTCTTCCCCTTGCAGAGAATGCGTGCTAGCCACCCTTAGAACTGGGTTTGGTATATGAAGGGGTGATATCAAGTGTATGCTACCACTATGTTGGCTGCCTCAGGTCATAAACTGAGCGTGAGCAAACTAGGGATTTACAGCCTCTCAGTCTGACCAGAACCTGGACATATTTATGATTGTTTAGTTTTTGATCCAAAGTGTGTATTAAAGAAATGATAAAGGGTACAGTAAAAAATACATATGCATCAGTGTCTATTTTGTCAATATAAATCATTGTGATGGTAGGAGTTTGGTGTCCTTCATGACCATGTCATGGCTTTGGACTACCAGACAGTTCATCTGTAAAGCCTGAGGGTAGACATCAAACCATATGGAGAGAACTGGTTTTGTGTTTGGCTCACAGGTGTGCTTGAAGAGGGTCAGTTGTAGTTCCTTTTTAAATGTCACTTTCTTTTCAGCTCACTCTGCTAGTTTTGAAAAACCTTGTGCAAGTGCACAAAACGCAATCAAGAATGCTATCTTCCTGTTCATCTAAAAATATATGCCTTTGTGGCCCAGGCAAAGAAGAAAGTGGCAAACATGCTATCTTCTTGGTGGGTAGCATAAGTGCTTCTGCTAGTGTGTTAGACCAGCTGTATTTTTATCCATGTTCATGTACTGCTTTCCCTAAAAGGGGTTGTCCATTTTGCTCCCTTGTCTTATTTTGCCAGTAAGCTGATAAAGCTTTTTTGTACCTTTGTTTGTTTGTTTGTTTTTAAAAAGCTTTTTGTTTGTTTTTAAAAAGAAAATAAATTAGGAATGAAAAAGCTGTTGGTTTGGGTTTTGTTTTTTTTTTTTTGGTTGGTTGGTGGTTTTTTTTTACAGAAGAGATTTGGAATGTGAATTATGATATTAGCTCTTTTGTAAATTAGAAGGATTCAGGGCTTCTGTTTCCTTCAGTTGAAAACATTAATGGCTTCTAACAGAGGGACACAAGTTGTTGATAATGAATCATCTGAGGAGTGGATATTTGTGAAAATCTTGGCCTAAGCTAGTTGTCTGAAGTTGCTCAGTAATTCTGTAGGAGAGCAGTAGGAAAGAATACAGTTCTTCTCTTTCCTAATTCACTATTCTATGAATAAGATCCTTTTTTTTCTTTTTTTTTCATTAGTTTGTGTCAGAAAACAAGGATATTCTAGATTGTCTCAGTCATCCAGAGACTAAAGCTACATAATTCTTTCCTTATTAGCTCTGTGATAGAGAGTATGAGTATTTTACTTGGGGAGGGTGGAAAAGTATTCAAGGATTTACTTAATTTATGTGACAAATATGTAATTTAGTATTCTTTGTGGTTTAAGTTTTAATTCCATTTTACTTACCCTTACTTTCAACAGCAATTACAATATGCTTCAGAGGTGAAGAGCAAGACTGTTCAGTTCATGAATTTAAGAAGTGCGGGAACTCTGAATAACACAGGGTAAATTTTATTTTGAAACATTCATATGACAGTGCTGTCTCTACATGTTTTTAATAATCTGTACGTATGATAAGGGTATCAGCTAATGTAATGTTTATGTGATGGAAAAGAACAATTTTAACAAGAAGCATTTTGGGTGAATTTGGGAATTCACTTAAGAGATAATTAATGTACCTAAACGTAGGTGTCTAGCACCATTTTACATATGTCAGAATATGTGAAATTTCTACTTGTGCTGAGAGGATGTGACACAGTATCTGTCAGAGATTTCTCCCCATCTGATGCAGCTGTTGGAGGCTCAATGAAGGATTCTGCAGGTACCTAAGATAGTTCTTAAGTACCTGAACTGCACCTTGAACCAGTATGTGAATCCTGCCTAATTCTAAGGCTTTCCATTCTCCTTGCCCTTAGGCTTTTCTGTGGTGTGCCTCACATAAGTGGCATAGAGTACATTTCAGTAACTGACTAGCAAGAAACTTAAAAATAAAATATCTGTATTATCAACTGAAAGATACTGAGTCACCATAGTCCATAGTAACTGTTGTATTGCTGTACCCATTAGCAAAAACTGAAATGATTTCATTAAATTGTCTGCTGCTAGAGATATCCACTTACACACTCTATTAAAAGTTAACACTGATACAGGTGGAAAAACTTAAGTGATTTAATTACATTTGGCTAATTAAACTAACCTAGACTTTGTTCCCACTAACTTTTTTTACTTATTTAAAGAGGATAACAGAAGCAGTCTCACAAGTGCTGTAAGCCTTACGTAATGGCTACAAAGGTGCTTTAAGACTCTCTGAAGAAGAAGGTAATTGTATGTATTAGTTCATAAGCACACTTTAAATAACATCTAATTACCAGGCTGTGTTGGTAATTTGAGAAGCCAGATGCTGTGTGTGGACATGGCATGCGATAATGATGTTTCTAACCTGCTTATAGCTATGGCAAGTTTCTTACAGTCAAGTGACATTCGCTTCTGAACAGGAGGTGCTTGTCTCTTCATAAAGTTCAAAACTAAGTAATTCTTGCACAAAGTCCTTTTACGAAAATGCCTGGTTTTGAAATCTAACTTTCTCCTACCTCTCTCCTCTTGGTAAACAGAAGTCAGTATATCTGAGGAAAAAAATGCATAATCCTCAGTTAAGAGAGCTCTACTACCAAAATTTCAAAATTCCACCTCCATTTATAAGGTGGATAGTTACCTACATTACATAAAAAAAAACCCAACTTACTGCTTGTTTTATATGCTCATTTCATGGTTACTGTTTCCTCCAAGGTCATGGTATGTTTTTATTATAGGGAAAATACTGTGTTCTACAGATTTCTCCTAATTATGGACTTTTACGTTATTTGTAGGTCTTTAGATGAGACCACTTACGAAAAACTGGCTGAAGAGACACTGGACTCCTTAGCAGATTTCTTTGAAGACCTGACAGATAAGCCTTTTACCCCAGAAGATTATGATGTCTCTTTAGGGGTATGTTTTAAGCATTTTATTACCAATGTAATTACTATACCTTTTTTTCCTTGAGGAAGAATTTAAATTGGTCACCTTAGTGCCAACACTTAGAATGCAGTCATGTTTTACAGCTTTATTGTAAAAATATGCGAGTTTATACTGACTGGAGCAACTGTTCTGGTGGAAAGTAACACATGCTGCTGTATGATTTGAGGATTTAAAATGTTTAGAGTGTAGAGAAAGAGATAATGTAAAATAACAAATGAGCACAAGAGGAAACAACAGCTGGTCTATAAATTTTTCTAAGCTTGCATAGGCACCTGATATCAGCAGTCACTTCTCCTTGCCAAATACTCCCATAGGACAGGCCTGTGTGGCATAGTACATGTACATGACATGTAGCTGATACAGCAGTTTCTTTGGTTGCCCTGAATACCAAGAAGTACATTTGTCTTGGCCAGGCAGAGTACATTTATCCTGGCTTTACGCATGTCAACCTGTGGTGGAGAAAAGCAACAAGAGGATGCAATGTTTGTGTAGTTGCAGAAGTGAGACCAGAGAAAGCTACTGTCACGGGAGACATTGGGCAGGTGCTAGCCTGGTAATTGGAGTCTTTAATGGGTTGGCCAGTCAAATTCTTTTAGAGGAGTGATAGATTAAAAATGCATTGTCAATTTGTATATAGGAATTTATTAGCTTTATATACAAGCCCTGAAGTGGTTTGTATGTTACAACCCTCTACATGACTTGGAGGGGAGTGCATTTCTCCCTACGCTGCCATCTGCAACACAGGTCTTTCACTGCCACATTTTTTTGAGGTCACATAACTTCTGCTCCCTGTTCATGTCTTACCACTAGGAGGTTGCTTTCTAAGAGCCCTGTCATTTAAGGTTTTATGCGCAGGGACCTTGAAGGGATGGTCTGGGTTGCACTGTGAAAAAAAAAATGAAAAAAAACCAACCAAAAAACCCCAAAACCCACACAAACAAACACACCCCAAACAACAAACCACCACCGAAACAAAACCAGTAAACCACCCCAGAGACAGACCCCCTCTAGTGTTCAGACTAGTTCCTGCTTAACTTTGCCATCAAAATATTCATTCTTTATTTCTTATGACTAGAATAGAAAATAACAGAATAACACTGTTAGTAGGATTCTGTTGTTGCGTTAGTAAATACTATTTGTTGCTTTAATTAAGGAGTTAATGTTACAGCCAATTGCTTTTCTGGTGAAGAGCAAAACATTGTTTAGCCATTACTATTTCGTGTGTTTTAGCATATTGGCACCAGTTAGCCTGATTTAAAGAGCTTAGGACAAAAATTAGCAAAAAAGATTATGATTTAGTTCTTTGATATTCTTAGACACTTCTTTGTGTGAAGGTGAGATGTCAGAATTTTATCTCTAGCCACTGTAGAGTGGATTGTGTTTGACATTGACTCTCTGTGAGGCGCAAAAGGAATTATTTTTACATCCATCTTAATTTCTACTAGTACTCTTTTATTGCATAAACTGTATGATGACATAATATATTGTTGTTTCTGAAAGAGGAAAGAAACAAGCGAAGGGTTTAAGAGTCGGAGGTTTCAATTCCAAAGGCTAATACTGTAGCCGGCCACCAGGTGGCGAACGTGATAAAGTTCTGTTCTGCCCATGTCATGTTACAAACTTGATTTCTTTATACTATTTATATAGGATCATAGGTCATGGCTTGGGTTGGAACGAACCTTTAAACGTTGTCATGTCCAGGAGAAAAAATACCTTTCTTCAAATATTCTTGTTACCAGGAGCTAACAGACGTAAACATCCAGTAGTATGAAACATATACTACAAAATACAGTAAAAGTATCTTGCAGTTTAAGGTCTTAAAAGGCGCTGCCTGTGCTACACGTTAAGTTTGCAGGCAGTAGGTATTCATAAATGAAAGTTTTTTTCCCCATAGTAAGTGTTTATATGTAGCAAATAGCCCTAGCAATGATAGTGGCTGTCCTGACTAAAGCATGAAAAATACGATTCCCTTAAATGGAATGCTATAGGGTATGAAGTATTTGAGAAACAGTAGCTAAAATACGACTAACCTGTTACCTGAATCATCAAGCTGTAATTTTTAATCAGCATAATTTGGATCATCTGTAGGTTACCTTTCATCTAAGTAGGGTTGTTCTTTTACTTTTAAAGTTAGGACATAAATATTTTTGTCAGAGTTAATGTATGCCATTCAAATGCACTTATGAAAATGTCAGAGAAACATGAATCATGTTGTCAGTAAGAAATGCAAGTAAAAAAAAAAGAGAATAAATGCTTGCTAGTATAATGGTCAAGCTGGCGTAACTAAAACAAACTAGACCTCATGGACTTTAGAAGTGGAACATTTTTGAGGTATGATTCAGGATATAGGCACTTCATCAGAATTATTGGAGAAAGAATTGTGTTTATTCACTGGGAAACTGTTACAGTTACTTAGGAAAAGTTAGGTAAAATTTCATGGCTCAGGAATCTAGCAATAACACGTAAAGCTTCTTGGTTTTGAACCACACCACTTCTCAGCGGTTCAGGAATAGAAAAGGTTGTTATTGGATGATGTTTTAATCTTTGCAGAATGAACTAGCAGTTCTTCCAAGGTGACAGATCAAAAGCTCAAGAATATTATTTAAGCAGCGCCATTGTGAATGGTGCAAATGCAGTAAATCAAACTCTGACAAGAAGGTCTAAAGTCTGGACCAGACTCAAAGATATGCAGGTTGTCCTAGGTAATACAAGTTTTTGATACCTAATGATCATTCTTCCAAACTATTATTGTTAGGAAAATATTTGGGAAAGTGATACAGAAATGTAAGTTTCTGTTTTATCTACATCAGATACTGTCATCCTTGTCAAGGAACAGGAGACAAATTTTTAACTTCTCTCTTATTTTGTGTTTTGAGAGTGGAGTTCTAACAGTGAAATTAGGTGGAGACATGGGAACATACGTAATCAATAAGCAAACACCAAACCGTCAGATTTGGCTGTCCTCACCCACTAGGTAAGTTACATGTAAGTTAGCCATGTAATGTCTGCAGACTAGGTTGAAATGTAACGCCCCTTCTTTTATAGCACAGCATGGACTATGTAATATCCTTTTTATAAGTAACCCTTTTGCTCAGTATACTCTCAAAACATGATATAATCTAACCGTTTGTTAATAATTTCTTACAGAGGTTTGAGTCACAGTGCAGTATACTGACACATCTATTTAATCCAGGAAATGTGTAATACAGAATTTTCATATGCTGTTCTGGTCCAAAACCACTGTCTGCAGGAAGATAGCCTTCTCACAGAAAAAATAAACAGCATGATTAAAAAAAAACACAAACAAGACAACCCAAAGCTTCTATTGGAAAGAGTGATGATGATGATGTTATGATCTAAACTTCTCTTTGTATTTAAATAGGGTGGCTCCTTCCCCTTTAAGCTTGTGGGATTTCCTGCTTTGTATGTTTATGTGCTCTCCCACTAGTTGTTTTTGTCAAGCATCTGCCCTTCACCAAGCCTTGGCTAGCTGTTCCCTCTGCCTTCTCTAATGCTGTGTTTTGGTCCATTCCAGGTTTTCTGGTTGGTTTCAGCGGGGAGGACAGGCAGCTAAGTGGGAAAATGTTGTAGCTGTCTCCCCCAAAAATTTGTGTTCTCTGCCACTGTCTGGGCTGAGGGAGTTGGTCAGTGTTGCTGGTGAAGGAACTAGTTAGCTGGAAAGTATGAGCACTCCCAGTAACTGTGCGGGCATACCTCTTTAATGTTGTTCAGTGATTGCAAAACTGGCAATAGTTTTGCAGTATTAGAATTCTGTAGCAGGGTTTGTGTCTTGGGAAAAAAACCCCACAATGGGATTCAAGATTTTAAGAGAAACGATTTTAATAGACATGAAGTTTACCTAAAGAAAAGTCTGGGATGCTTCATAAAGTTTGCCTAAGGAAAAGTCTTGGGATACTTAATAAAAACAGAACTGTAGAAATACCTGAAGATTAATGGATGAAGACTCAACAAGTAATCAAGAAGATCCAATTAGGAACTGAATATGATTTTAAAATAATTCAGAGACTTGTGGGACATTTAAACTTCTTGTCGCCTTTTGCTAAATCTACAGTTGATGTGTTAAAACCTATGTATATGGCTGTTGCTGCAAAACAAAATTTTTGTTTCGCTCAAGAATACAAAGTTTTACTGTTTAAGCTTTGTAAACAAACATGTTTTGTAAACAAACAGTTTCCTTCACTGGAAGGAAACTGAGGGAAACTGAACTCCCATTCCTATGTTTCCCATTTTTGACATAAGCAATTCTGGTCCCTCTGCCCCGGTCTGAGTAAGAGTGGCGTTGTCCTTTTCCCATGATGGTGTTCAGAAACAAGGTACTGCTGTTCCCAGTGCTGTGTTTTATTTCTCGTCTATAAAGGATTCCTGCTTTGAACAGCTTATACAAATAAATGTTAGCAATATCCTGATGGCGTTTCTCAAACCCTGGGTACTTATTAACTTTGACTGTCTTCCACTGGAAAACTAGGAAATGCCCTTGGGCCAAAATCTGGCTGGGATCAAATATTTCCAAGCATGACTTTGCTTTATTGTACTTATGTACTGTTTGCTACACAGCACACCAGGCTAGTAATTTTTGTACTAACTCCTATCCCAGAATCCTTTTATTAAATAATTTACTTAGCAGGTATGTGACTTGCTAAAGCACAGGTCTAGCAACCTGAACAAACTTTTAGACAGATGCAGGCTGAGTGTCAGAATTTATTCATTCAGTATATTTTTAAATAGCATAATTTCTGAACCTTGATTCTGTTTAAGATCACTGTAAGATTTTTGTGTCGTTGACACAAAGATTTCATGTATTTCTGAAAACCAAAATTCACAGAATTCTTATCAGTTTAGAGCCAACACTAGTTGAGCTAAGCATTAATGCTCCAGAATACGGGATTTGTTGATAAACATTAAACATTTTTTTTTAATTGTGAATAAAAATACTCAAGGAAAGAGATGAACTCAAAAATTCTCTTGATGGTATTTTCCATCATCTGCAAAGAAAAATGATTCACCTACAAATGTTAAGTTTTGTGCTTCCTCAGCTGGTATTATGGTAAACAGTAGTATTTCCTGACATATGATGCTGCATGTTCGTTTACTTCCTAACTTCTAAAAAGCTACTCCAGCAGACACTCTAGGATCTGGAGTGACATACTTCCTTAACGCAATATACTAGGAACTGAAAGAAGCAAATACACCTGCAGGTGGTCACTTGTACTGAATGTTGTTTGTACAGTAAATATAACATTTTGGGTCTTTAAGAACATATTCTGAGAGAGACAAAGTATTAAGATTTGAGAGAGAGACATTTTCTTGAATTTTTTTGACCTTCAGTTTGCTATCCTGTGTCTATACACTGAAGTGCACTGAGGCTTGCGTTTGCAAAGCTTTACTTAAGTAAAAAAGTCAACAATTTTAGAAGGGGGTTTCAGGGGTGGGTGTAACCTGCCAGCAGTGTGACTGCAGTAACTTCATGTAGCTCCTTTGACTGAAAAGACTTCTAAACCTTACACAGTGTTTCTTAATAATACCGTAATGTGATATTTTAATTCTTCTCACTGTTTAAAAATGTATGCAGACTTTCAATGAGAAATATATTTAGTCTATATTTATCTTTGTAGGCATTTTATAGGAGTCACAAGATCCTTGCTTAAATTATTTAAATAAAAAATCATATTTGTACAGCATTTTGAAGATTCAGAGGACAATGGAGACATATCATATGCTAGCCATATCACTGATCCTTACTATGCACCATTTAAAAACAGTTAACTTACGCTCTTCTTTGTTGTTAATTAAATAGCCTGCATTAGCCCACTTTTCATGAATGGCTGCATCCCATTGTGTCATTCCCTAGGTGCAGGACTGTATAGTGGTACTGCACAAAGGAGTGAAAAATGTAATTAGAGCACATAATCCTGATTCCAAGTAGTTGCCACTTAACATACAGGAAGTGAGATTTCACTGGAAGTGACTTGCATTTGTGCTTGCATTTTTGACTCCTCATAGTTTGTTTAGTAGTTGGAAATGTCTTCATTTGAATATTGTGAGTAATTGAGGATATCCAAGTTTCAGATTAGTGTTTATGTTTGTTTAAAACCTGCAGATTGTTCTTGTGTGTATATAAGATAGTCTCTTTTCCAGCAGATCTTGTGCATGGATTGTCTCCATTCCAAGGCATTTTGTCCTGTGAGTTCAAGGATAAGACTGATCATTTGTCTGTTTATCCTAGACAACTTTTTTTTTTTTTATTAGTTTCTTAGCTAATGTTAACAGTAATGAGAGCCTTTCAATCATTCTCTTGTTTCCAGTGTGGAGAATTGGGTAGATAGAGAGGTCTGGAATAGAACCCCAGGTGTTCAAGTTTCTGTGTTGATACTTAATATAGGCCTGAAAAGTCAAGCCAACACTGCATGATAACACAGAGGAAAACAGCATTTTAAATACAAACCACCTACATGCCAATATATTTGCTTTCAGCTGGTAAATTCTTTTGTTTCATCTAAGAAGAGAGAGTGGTGATTTGTGTTCTGCTTTGTTTAGAATACCTGCATGTGGCTGCTGCAAGAACTAATTGATACCATTCATTCAGCGTTACACAAATACCCCTTGTAATATTTGTGTGCAAGAAGATTATACAAATGAGGGAATAAGGAGGTGAGGGAAGAAAGTGGGGAAATCTGTGCCAAAACCAGGAAGGGAAGGAGCTTATGTCAGTGACCGAAAACATCTTTTCCCCTTTCAGGGATGGATATCTGTTGGATGGCTCATCAGTATCTGTCTTCTGCTCCACTGTCCCAGACTGCCCGCCAGCCCTTCTATTTGTTGTCTGTTCTTTTTCCCGGGGTACATTATAAATGCAGGCTTCCAGCAGCTCTCCATGAATAATCCGTACTTACACAGCATGTTCTTTGTTTTCTAGTGGGCCCAAGCGCTATGACTGGACTGGACGAAATTGGGTGTATTCACATGACAGAGTATCACTTCATGAACTGCTATCAAAAGAACTTTCAACGGCATTAAAAACTAAGTTGGATTTGTCCTGCTTGATATATTCTGGGAAGGAAGATACTTGATGATATTTTATCTCATGGAATTTAAAAACTTTAACCACAAGCCAAGCCCTTCCTTGTTTTCTGAGGTACCTGAGCTTAATTCTGTTGTTTTTTTCTTGACATCACGATGATCTTAAGGTTCTTTCCAGCCCTAACTATTCTATGATTCTATGTTGCACAACAAAAATGAAAATAATACGTATTTCTCTAGTGCTAAGTCTTTGGGCTTCTGTGTCACTGCTTCATTCTCTGTCCATGTAGTACAAGTGGAGGAGGTCGCCCTTCCTGTCACTGCATTACTTACTTTCTTACTGCAGAAGTAAGACTTGAATTCTTACTGTCTGTAGTCTTGTTCGATGTAAGGACTGACCCGCCTGATGACTTCTGAGCGGCACACAAATGCTAAACTTCTTTTGGTGAGACATTCACCCAAAAGAAATACCTTTGAATTACATTGATGTAAGTTGTGGGACTGTGAACACATCACATTAAAAATTTGTGGCTATTGCTAGTGAATAACGCATCACAGTCAGATTGAGCACGTCATAAACAAAATGGCTGTCGCAGTAAAAACTTTTCATTTTGAGTAATGCATGTAAAAGAGGAGCTTTTCTCTTGGTACTGCTGAATTTTCTCTTTTCCAAGTTCTAGTTTCTTTCACATTATTATTTTTTTTTTTTTAATGGGGTTTTGGAGTTTCAGAGTTTCTATTTTTTTAAGCTAAATTTTAAATTACTCAGAGGTCTGTATGGTTGTAAATTTTAAATTACTCAGAAGTCTGTATGGTTGTAAGCATCGTATTGAACTGTAAAAGCTGGTATGTCAAGTTTAAGCTGTGCGGCAGTATCTCTGCAGATTTATTGTGTGAATGTCCAAACTGTGGATTTCTCTTTCTGTTCCCTTTTGTTCTTCAGATAGTAAAAATACATACTGACTTTTTTTTTTTTTGTTGGGCAAAATTGAGATTCACAGTGGCAAAAATTTGCACTACTTTTATTCTGCATTTCTTAAATTTAAGATGAGATTATACTTTTTCACCATTATACAACCAGGCTCCCCTCAGTACCATGCTAATTCAGAAACTTTTGCCTTTTTGCTTCTTAGAATCAAATACGGTATTTGGACTGACGATGTGTTTTTCAAGCTGCGACATAAGGATGAAATAGATTATGTAGTTAAAATCGTAAACCAAAAAGCTTTACAAGAAATTACAAGCTGCAAAAAGAACACTTCAGCGCTTGCACTGGTGGGTCATTAGCACTTGTAGGTTTTAATTGCCTGTAAAATGGACACTCAAAAGTTGTTGACCAATTCTTGAGGAAACAGTTATAAATAGTAATTAGTTTTGTCATTGAAAACCAATGCCTATATAGCTATTGTTGCCCAGTATTTGCATTTAAAATATAAGCATTGTTACCTGCTATTTCCCACCATTAAAACAGAGTAACTTTTCACTGGAAGCAGCTCTTGGTTAATTGTGCATGCTGCTCACCTGTTTTTCAATCAGAATAAAAAAATATGGCAATTACCTGAAATTTCAACTTTACTGAATGGGGTAAATATAATGATTACCAACTCATGTGCGTATAAGAATAAAGGGGTTTGTTTTGGTTTGTTTTTTTTTTTAACAAAGGAAAGTAAAAATAGAACATCTTTTTACTGCTTTGAATTTAGGACACTGAAAATAATTTACAGCATATGGAAAACAATAATATTTAGCTCAGTTTCCTAATAGGCATTTAAATATATTTGCATAGATGTTAATGACTTGATACTTTACTCAAGAATACTTCCTCCTGGTTCTTCCTTTGCTTCATCACGTACAGCTTGTGTAACTTTTCAAAAAATCATTTCCTTGGGTAACTTGCGTGCAGCATACTAACACTCATGAGAGTAATACTTGGACTTCATTCTACATTCCTTTACCTCATGTGCGAATGTTTATTTCAAGATAAAGTTGCATGTAGAATTCTTAATTCATTATATAAAGGTGTGATTTCATGCCATGATAATAATGCTGAAGACTGCAGCATTATGTACTGTTTTGAATTTTTTGTGCTTCTTGAAACATGTACTGGAAAGATTCTGTTCAAAATTTGGCCAGTTAGGGTGGATTTTATAAGAGCGCTTCAGCTTTCATGTGATGTGCCCTGCACTTCATCCATAATGCTTCTGCTGTTTGTGCAGTTTCCTGCTTTTAGGTATCTGAGTAACAAATGGATTTAATCTAACTGGTAAAGATAAATAGTGTCAGCGAGTTCGAATGAGTTTTATCTTGGTGTACACGATGAATCATAGGACATGACTCATTCTTTGCTCTAATACTTGCATCAGACTGTAAGTTAAGGGCAAGGCCACTGTCAGCCTTCATGCTTCTGCAGAGAGGCTCAGGCTGAGCTCTGATCCTGTCGTCAAATTATGTTCTACTAACATAATTTACTTGAGTACTCGGATTGATTTATGGTTACAGACTTGACATCTCATCAATAGTTTCTTGCTTTGCCTCTCCTAGAAGAAATAACTGAATTAAAATAATTTGATACACACTATGGTCGGTGTTGGTAGGAACCAACCAGTTCATACTGGGGCTGGCACCATTTTCCCCCCAAGACAGTTACTCCATTTTTGGTGAAGGAAAACATACACAGTGCTTTTGAAAGACAGGATTTGCATTTGTAGCTTTATTGGATGCTCCGGCTCGGCAGAGAAAGTGAAATGTGTTGGGTTTTTTTGGGTATATCAAGAGTTTTCACCAATAGCCAGTCACTGAGATGATTGTGGTGTTCTGGCCTACAGTCTGAAAGTCCTCGCATGTCTAACCTTACTAAAACTCTGTTTCGTGTGTGCCAGTGATTTCTTTGGAAGTCTCAGTTGATTCAGGTAGTCTAGCTTACAGCAACCACTCACAGTCTCTATTGCTCACAAAATACGACTTTTGACAGGAATTGTGCCTAAATGTTCGTCTGGTGTTTCTTGGTTCATTTTCCTTTCCACTTAATAACCCTTAAGAAGCGTTATCCTTAAGAAATACCTCTTCCTTGCAAGACTGTTCTGTCATCCTGTCTTGTTCCTTAAAATTCCCTAAGTCTTTTAGCAACTTCAATAAATAGGATAAAGGCCCGTCCTGAAAAGATGGTAGACAAATAAGGGAAGGGGGATTTGTGGTGAGGTTTGTGTTTAATTGCTTTTAGCTCCTGGTTAATGGTTGAACAATGATCGTGCTAACAACTTGGAATGTGTGGGCGTCCTGGGAAGGAAGGTGGAGGCTTGCCAAAATACCTGGAAGAACATTTGAAATAGAAGAGGAAGCATAGGAAGGGCAGAAGCAAAGGCTATCCGGAAGAGATTAACTTTGCCCAAGGCTGATGTTGGCAGGGCAAGGAAAGACTAGAGGCAAGCAGCATCATGTGTGGCCCCTCAGGAGGTGGTGTTTTAAATTTGCTGTACACCACTATTTATAATTGTAACCAATCAAACATGCTTCAGTCCATTTTGCTATTCCCATTAATTTTCTTTAAACTCCTGTTTAAAGATAAGAAAAGTCATCCTTGAGTTCCTCTCTGTCCCAAATTGTTGCTTGTGTAAACTCTGCTGTTGGCAGGCAGAACAAAGACAAGGTTCATGACCTCCACCAAAGGAGAGGCTGTTTTTCTGGGGATAGAATACAGAGAGCTATGGACAATTAGAGCTTTTTTAAACAGTTACTTATTACAAACATTTTTTGGAGTTCAGGTTAAGGAACTTTTAGATACGGAAACAATAGGTGTTTAAAACAAGATACGTAATGTTGCTGCTGCCTTCTGCAGTTTGCTGAATTGTTTTAAAAATGGTTTTAGCCATGGTAAGTATGCTGTGTGATCAGTCTTACAGTGAGTAATTGTGTAAGCATTGGTAGTTTCGAGGTGTAGGCTCTTCTGCTACCCATCAATGTTCTCTCCTACTAAAAAAATCAGGAATACATTAAATGCCAATAGTATAACTCCACAGCATTTTAGAATCCTTAACCAGGCACTGTAAGACCACTGTTACAAAAGTAACTTCAGAAAAACATTTAGAGAACTGGGAGATGAAGTTTTTAAACACTCAATAAGCAAACATGCACCCAGCACAGTGTCAGCTGAGTGATCTGACACACACCTGGAAGTAAGGCTGAATTTCCACTCCTCATGCCTTGGTTCTGCCTGAATGCAATATTCTGTTATGTGCTGATGATTGAGCCTGCCTGTAGCTGACAGAAAATGACAAGTTACTGAACTAGTCCTTTCCGCCTCCTCCTCGGTTTTGCTGTTTGGAACTTTCAGGCTGCAGTTGTCACTTGAAGACCACAGTATGCCATGCACAGGCATGTTAATTATTAACTGTCGCTACAAGGAGACTTTTTCAATACAACAACTGGATGCAGTTTCGTATTTGCTGTCACTAAAATAGGTTCTTTCGGTGCCCAGCCTTCCAAAGTCCAGTGCCTTTGTGAGGAACACTGCCTTCTTTATCTTAGTTCCTGTATCAGGCATACTGCACACACATCACCTGCACCTAATGAGGAAGAAAACAACCTGAATTAGAATGCAGTGGGAATGTAGAGTATTTAGTGTCTGTCGAAAAATCATCTGCCCTTTCTCATCAGCAACTAACAACAAACCTCAAAACTTGTCAGTAGGTTTTGTGTCACTGGCCTGGTGCTGGGGGATTACTGATTTCAGAGGGGCTCCTGTGAGGTTTAACCACCTAAGAGAGCAGATAAGGAATTCCTGGTGACATTTAATGCTTTACAATGCAGAAGAAACTTGACTCCAAAGAATCCTGTCAGGGCTGCTTGGCCTTGTCTTTCTCATTTCGGCTGCAGGACATCAGTGATGCCAGAAAGCTGATAGCTGTGGAATGCCAGTCTCAAGTGCAGCTCCCTTTTGTAAAGTGAAGGTTTCGGGAACAGTATCGGTACGGCCTCGCATGGTGACACTTCATGTGCTCGCCTGGAAATGGAGCTCCTCTGCCTTCTGCTAATCTTGGGTGTTTCAGCTGTGAGTGATGATGTGAACACCCAGCTCCTCGGAGCTGCCAGAGCGCACCAGTCAAGTGGAGGGAAGTTGGCCATGGGTCTTCTGCTATAAAAAGCAGGAAAGAAACCGATCCAGAAGCATACGTGCAGAGCCACCACTGTGCGGTGGATTTTAGAGCCGCTTCAGAGGTCTTCCGGTTAGAGAAGTTTAGCTGGGCAACGATCCCAGGCTCCTAACAGAACCTGATGTAAACGGAAACATCACACAAACGTTTGTGCCGGTGCACCCCGCGAGCGGCAGCGGCCGAACAGCTCCGCTCCGGGCCCGCCGTGGGGGGCTTCGGGCGGAGGCGGGGGGCAGAGCTGCGGCCCCCTCCCGGCAGACGGAACGGGCTGAGAAAAGAAAAGCTGGGGGGCGAGGCGGCCGCGCCGCGGTGACTCAGCGGCGCTGAGTACCGGGCTGCGACCGGTATTTCCTGTTCTCCCGCCCGCCGCCGCCTCTGGGCGAGAGACAGCTTGAGGAGTGTGAGAGTGTGTGTGTGTGTGTTAGTGTGCTAGCGAGGGCCGGGGGCGCCGGAGGAGTCACCCCTCCCGACGGGGCCAGGCGCAGGTGGAGCCCCGCCTGCGGACGCGGCCCGGCGCCTGTCCGTCCGCCACTGCTGTACCCCCGCCGCCTGCCCCACCTGGGGGAGAGGCCGGCACCTGCAGCCGGACCCCGCCCCAGCCCGGCCGTGCCGCGCCGCCCCCGCCCCCAGGAAATCGCCCGACTCGGTGGGAGCGACCGCACGGGCTCGGGGCTCGGCTCCGCACTCACTCGGACTCAGCGTTGCTGTGACAGCCGTCAGGGCGGCGGGGACCTCTGAGGGTAGCGGAGGGCGCACAGTGCCAGCACCGGGCCGCCTCTCGGGGCTTCCCAGTTGCCAGACGCCGGCACACCGGAACGACCTCCGAGAGCAGGCGAGTACTCCCGTGAGCTGCGCCCCCCTCCAGGCCGCACCCCTGCATCCCTCCCTTCGGGCAGGTGCGGCGTCCCGCCGCCCCCCACCTGGCCCCGCCGCTGCCTCCGCTCCACGCTCCAGGGGCCGCGCTTCGGGAAGGGCCGCGCTGCGGGAAGAGCCGCGCGGGACTTCTCCCGCTCCTTTCTTTGTGTGCTCCGGGCTCGTCTGCCCCCGCTCGGTTGATTCCTCGGACGCACTTTGTCCGCGAGAGCCGGAGGGGGGTCTGCCCTCCCAACGCTTAAACCCCCGGACTGCCCCCGCGCCCCCCCCCTCCAAACTCTTGGAGCGCCCCTGGGGCCGGCGCACAAGCGGGTTTGGGCCGGGGATCGGCTTTTCCTAACGGGATTAAGCGGCTCTCGGTGACTTTCCCCGTGGTAAGTACTCTCTGGGAGAGCTCGATGCTGCGTGGAGAGCGGGAGCGATGTCATCGGGGGATCAGGGATGGTTTTACCCCGATTTTGACCCTCGGGAGCTGTGCACACCCGGAGGCGGGGGGCTCGGGTCTGCCTTTCTTATACACAGAATGACTGAAGTCTGTGTGTTGGCACATCCCGAGTGGATTCCAGCCGTGCCTTGGGCTTTGGCTAACTGGGTCAGGGGAAGTTTCTAGTTAACAGGGAACTGTAAAACAAAGGAACGGGCAGTTCCAGGGGCCAAATGCTCGATCGCTCCTTAAAGTGCTTTCGCATCGGCCTTGTTTGCGGTGCTGTAGCTCAGGTACATCAGGTTTGAATTGTGGAGTGTTAAGGTTGATCGACCAGCGTTATTAGGCAGCTCTGCACTTACTTTTCCCCTACTTGAAACCTGTGCCCTCTGCATATTTTTCCAATGTGAAAAAGTACATACTGTCTTGAACATACCTGTGGAAGAGTCATACACTCATCTGTCAGATTGGTTATCTGAAAACTTCCATGCCTCCAATGTTGCTTTCTAATAATATCTCACTTTAAACAGCTCGAATCTCTGAATAATCTGCTCCCTGGCTTTGATCTATAACCTGGTGTTGAACCCAACAGCTAGGATGGTGTTTGAAAGCACTCAGCCCCACAGCTGTGCTCCTACAGAGGCCAGCAAACGTCTGCATTGCTTTAATCTTTGGCTGTAGTTATAAGATGGGATGGTTTGAAACAAATTAAAATGACTCACCTTTTATTTTGCTCAGCAGTGTTTTATTTTAAAGGTTTAGGACTGTGATTCAGCTGTGGTTCAGAGAGAAGAAAACACAAGTGCTATGACTGATAAAATAGCTCCTTTTGTTTCTGAAGCATTCATAATCTTAAGGATCCGTCTGTAAACTCTTCCAAGCTCTGACCCTTGTCAGGGTCCATGAGGCCTGCATAGCAAGGATCAGGTACTGGACAGCATGGGAAGTTTGCTTGTGTAAGTTGATATTCATTGCTAGATAACCAAGCTGCTTGAAGAGACTTTGAAATGCATTTAGTAAGCATTGTATGCCATTTAGACTTGGTAGGATTTATACTTAGCTTAACCTAGTGTTTATGAGGGCTTTCATCAGGCTTTTGGGGAAGCCTTTTGCATGTATTTGACTCTTCAGTGAGTTTACTGTTATAATTGCTTCCAGGCTGCTATATGCAAACACCTTGTATGCCCTGAACATTGCATTCAGGTAGTGGTAGTGACTCCTCTTTGCAAAAGGAAGTCACTCTGGCTTGGTGGAATTGCTTCTACCTTCAGTTGCATTCTTCATTGCTCTGTATCATAGTGCCAATAAAGGCTGCTGTTCTCAGAGCCACTACACTGGTTTTGTGAGACTGAAGATGAGTGCTGAGAATTATGCAGTGGGGTTAGGATGATCCCAATACTTTGCATGAGCTATAATCTCAACAGAGCTCTTCAGAATGAAGCATCAAAGTAATTAAGTGTCTGATACTTTTTTTTGTTTGCTTAATCCCCACTTTCCTGGTTCAGTGCCTTCTAAGGACAACCAGGGGATCTTTTCTAGTGATTAAAATAATGTTTAGGCACTGACATAGTTCACAAAATGGGATGTCTTGTACCTTTATAAAAGCTGGATGCTTGAAAGCATCAGAAAGTTCCTAGATCGTGAAAATCTGGATGCTTGAAAGCAACAGAAAGTTCCTGGATCACAGTAATTCTCAGCTGGGGAATGGCTTAATATTTCAGGATTACTTCAAAGCTGCATTTAACTTGGAGCAAATTTAGGTGGCAGATAGCATTTGTGTGTGTTTCAACAGTTACCAGCGTTGTCTGTCTCCAGAACTTCCTTGTAGGGTAAAAGAAATCTCTTGTTACAAGACTGTTCTCTCTTAATTGCTGAAATAACAGTATTTACGTTCTCAAGGAGGGTGTAACTTTTGTCATGCCTTGGCTGCATCAGTTCCATCCTGCTGTAGTAATTCTGGTATCCGTCTAATTCTAACAGGGGGAAGCAATCATGATACAACAGCTACACTTTACGGAGTTTAGATGTTTTCAAGTCTGATTTATTTTCAAGCAGGTATGAAAATACTGCTGACAAAAAATATATCGAATCTGACAATTATTACTTGACATCAGCTGCATAATGTCTGTGAATCCTAATCCCAAATTGCAGTGAATTTCTGTGATTTTTTAGAACTAGATTCCTCAAAAGTGAGATAATCTATATGTAAAACGAACATTTATGGCAACAAGCAGATAGGGCATAATTATAAGGCCTGTCTTCAGTATGGATCTTGCCATAGTGAAGAATGTTTGCGAATGGTGACTTACTTACCAAAAGAGATTGCAGCCCCCAGCATGAGTATGACTGGTTTTGTGTGGCTGTGCTGTCATATGCACGGCAGTGCATGTTGTCTGTCACAGTTAAAGGTTTGGTTTCAGTCCCAGACCAAGGAAGTTATTTGGAAATTCCCAGATAAGTACTGAGGTTTAATTTCTACACAGATTTCTCTCTCAGATTCTATGACAAAATAGAGCTGCTCAAGGGCAGGGTGCTTTTCTGTTACCTGAACCATCCTCTTTCTCAGGAAGGAGCAGCACTGTACTAGATACGTATTTCTGCTGCTATGCTTATTTCTTGTCCCAGAGCCTTTGGAGCCTTCTGTTGCTCTTTATTGTCCTTTTATCAGTACCAGGGTTATCCTGGTCCTGCCGCAGAATTTTTATTTTCTGAATAGGTAAATTGTGATTTAGAACTTAATGTTATTATGTGTGTGTGTGTGTGTGTGTGTGTGTATTGCCAAACAAAGCCTATATTTAACAGTAGAGGGCTGAGGTGGTTTTGTTGTTTTACTTAAATAGTGTATAATCAACACAGGTATTGACTGCAGTGTAGGAATTAAGCAACTTCATGCAGAAGTAAAGACCACATAGTTTCACAACCTAGACTGTTAATGTTTATGTCATTTTATAGTTGCTTTGTTGTTGTTTTTTATTTTCTTTTGATTCAAATTATTGTTTTCTGCAGGTGCCTGTTGCTAGGGAGTGTTGTACATTTCTGTTCTAAATGAGAACGCAGACTGCGGCAACTCCTTTCTGTCCAGTGTTATGTGACCCTTTCAGATGTGAATGTATTTAGGATGCTTATTATCCAAGCCTGGTAACAACCCAGTGAGCTGTGGGAGGTTTGGTCTGATATATTATATGGCATCTGCACTGGTGTATATTCATCAGTTGCAGGTTTTGTTTTTAGGAAATGTGAGCTACCTAGGTCTTCCTGAATTGAGGTCAGCGTTGTCATTGTGCATCTGAGTGTTGGATCCACATGTAACCATGGCTTCTGATCTAGGAAGAAAATGAAACTCAGTGCTGTGTTTTCATGTGTAATGGGAAAATGATTTATAAGAATACTGTGTGATACAGTAGTAAGGCCAGTAAGTGTGCAAGCTACAAAAAATATAAATCCCCTCTTATTCTGGTTTTCCCCAATGCCTGCTCCATTTCTGTGCTGTTGTCTTTGCTTCTGTCTTACACCAGCTTTCTCAAAAAGCAGAATTGCTTTTGAGAAATTTTTTTTAATTCTCAATGCATATTATGGTATGGAGATTATCTCAGGTGTGGTCTATATACATGTGAAATGTAAGATTTAGGATGTCTTCTTAGGTGTGGGTATGTTTTCATTAAGCTAGGTCTGAGTTCAGTTATTTTAGGCCATTTTGGATTTTTCCTCAGAATGGCTTAGTAATATCTCTCCCCAAAGTGTTTTGTTATCATTACTGTCAAATAAAACGAACTCTTTGACATCAGCGTGCATTGTATTGATAAACTGAGCCTGAACTCAATAATGTCTGGCTCGGCTTCATCTAGACCAAGGTTTTGCATATTTCTTAGAGCTATTTGTTTCTAGCTTTGCTGCCTTGGTTTTTTTTTTTTTGTGGTTTTTTTCTTTTTCCCCCTGTTTCTCTCTTTTTCTTTTCCCTCCCCCTTAAGAGACATTAGAGAAGACCCCTAAATCTCTCCTGCACGTCACTGTTAACAGCAAGGCTGTCAGTAGTCTGGCTTGTGCTCTCTTTTCTAACATCTGCTTCATCATCTAGCTCTGCTTAATAGCCAGCAGATTTGACTGCTGGTGTCTCTAGCCTCCTTAACACAACTTTGTGTAAGCTGATTCTGAGAATCTACAGGAACATATGGACTATTCAGGCAGTGGGCAATCTCTTAAGGAGGGGCTAAAAGCAACTGCAACCTGTGATGCTGTGTGAAAGATGTTTCCGGGTCCTTATCTTTCTATGAAATCACTCCGGTCCCCATGCCCCCAGTCTCATCCTTGATGCTCCTTTGTCTCAAGATTGTTTCAATGGATCAAGATTGACATACGTATTGATTGATTTTCGGTTTTCATTGTTTTTTAGCTATATGGCCCAAATGAGGCACATATGTTTTGGAAGTTAACAACTGTCTGTCATAGTTGTTCTTGCAACCTGAGAAAAAATGTGTAGGAAAAAAACTTTTTCCTTTTGCTTTCTTCATGAGAAAATCCTTTGGTCTGTGCATTTTATATTTTTTTTTTCTTTTGAGATATGAGAAAGAACAGGATTTTGTCACCTTCCAAAGATGGAAAGTAATTTGTGGCTATGTTGGGCAATGGTTATCTCCTCTGTGGGTGGGTCCAAAGTGACTAAAGATGTGATCATGCTTGTGTCATCAGTTTACATGAAGTATGTTCTATATCTCATTAAGGGGAGTATGACTCTCTTCTCATCTGTCAAGGATTAGAGCAAAAGGCATCTTTTGCTTTGACCTCATAAATGTTTAATGCGGAAAAGAGTTTCTGTCATTCTTTCCCCATTTCTGGAAATATTTATTGCTTTCCAAATCATCCACTGTAATTGAATTTACAATTTTTACAGGGTGACTGAAAATAAGGAAACTTCAGAACTGCTTTTGCAAAAGTCATCTGTAGAATTTCAGC